GCAAGACTCCAGCAATTCATGGAACGTGAATTGCCAAATGTTCAAGCGGGATTAGGAAGAGGCAGAGGAACAAGAGATCAAATTGCTAACATTCGCTGGATAATGGAAAAGGCAAGGGAAATAATAAAAAAAACATTTATTTGTGCTTCATTGACTATACCAAGGCTTTTGTGTTGATCACAACAAACTTTGGATAACTATAAATAACATGGGCGTCCCAAGCCATATTATCTGCCTGCTCAAGAACCTGTGTAACCAAGAGGCGACAGTCAGAACTGATTTTGGAGAAACCGAGAGGTTCAAAATAGGAAAGGAGTACGCCAGGGCTGCATACTATCGCCTTATTTATTCAACTTGTATTCATACAAGTTGAATCACATCATGCGCAATGCTGGACTGGAAGAAGCAGAAGCTGGCATGACATCAAAATCGGCGGGAGGAAAATCAACAACCTTAGATATGATGGCTGAAAAGGAGGAAGATTTGAAGGAGCTTCTGATGAAAGTTAAAAAGAAAGTGCAAAAGCTGGCTTGTTGCTGAACGTTGAAAAGACCAAGATAATGTCAACAGGCTGTATCACTCAAGTGAAGATGGATGAGGAAGAAGTTGAAGTTGTTATTTTGGTCATATAACGAGAAGACAAGCCTCATTTGAAAAGACATTGATTCTTGGCAAAACCGAAGGAAAAAGGAGAGGACGACAGAGAACACGATGGTCGGAAGACACACAACTGTGGTTGCAGGAACTGAAGGAGTTGGCCATGGATAGAAAATGCTGGCGAGACATTGTCCATCTGGTCACCGAGAGTGGAACACGACTGAATGGATGAAACACACACAGGGGTCTTTTTAGGAATATGATCTTGTTTTTCGGTCTGGGCCCCATGAACCTGTCTCGAATATGAGAATAACAAGTGATGAAGTGTCCGCGTTCAATGAGACAATGCGAGACATACGGCAAGGTACTAAACATTCCTGTGCGGGACGATTCCGGAGGACACTTTCGTGTACTGAGAGATGAGACCAACGTCTCCATCTCGTGGCAAGGAGGACAACTTTACAATTCCCTAAAACTTAAAAGTCCATGTTGTATCAGAATGTTGTCACTACGTTGTCGATGTCGAGTGTCAACATTCACTCAATGTTGAAAACAATGTTGCTATAACATTCGCAGAAGAGTCGCAGCAACAATTCAAGTGAAAACGTTGAAGCAATGTTTATCAATGTTGTATATCAACTTTCAACATGAGTACCAGGGCAACATTTCGAAAACGTTAACATTAACATTAACATGCTTGGGATAGTTCTCAGGAACTATCCCAAGTATGTTCCATCAATCATCTTCCAGCTGGAAGATTGCACGATCCAGCTTGGAGATGAGCTAAGTCATCGCTCAAATGTAACAAAATTGCTACGCCAGAGATCTTCAAAGATGCAGGTCTTCAGAGATCAGATCGAGGTCTTTCTGCAATTGCTTACCTCTTTAGATTTTCACAAACAAGAGTCCCTCTTTGTTTATTCTCTTAGAGTTTCAGCAAAAATACCATCAAATTCCAGCTTCTGAGCAGGATAGGAATACCGGTTAAATCGAGCTATAACCAGCTAGTTCCACCTTATTCCAGTCAAAACACATACAGGATCCAGCCGGAATTTTTGGCCATTTTTCTCTGCACTAATTTCTAATTTCTCTGCAAAACAAGACATACAGAAATGCAGTCTACGCACGGATACATTTGTGATAATGTGTTCGTCATTGAATCTGGCCATGGATATCTCTCCGGAAAAAAATACTTTTGCTATCACACGACCTTAAATATCTTGTTCCATCGTCCACTGCCAAAATCCGTATGATATGGGCGTTTCCACGGTGTCGGATGTGACATTCAGAGCAATATGAACGTTTCATTAGATGTGTCGCACAAAATTGCAAAGGATTAATCAACCTATTAACCCATGAAACTGTCTTGGGTATTGATAGATAACTTTACGATCCATAACTCCACTTAGCCTCTCTTGAAAGGGCTGTACATGTTTTCAAATGAAAGTGTCAGACGTGACATTTCATGCACCGAAATGTTGAGTACCCTTAGTTTGCAATCGAAACTCGAAAATCAATATATGGGAGTTGATAAAATTACGAATATAATCATTTCATAGGTGAAAGGTAAACCCTGACTTAATGGAAGTTTCCCCTTGTTAGAAGCTCTAGGAAAGGTAAGCAAGGTCATTCTGGACAGTGTCGTGACAGGAAAGTGTCGGATGTGACACAATCTGAAAATAACTGCAAGATAAATTTTCCACATTTATATTCATTTCCAGCTTATATCAGCATTGAAATTTGAAAATGCTTCAACATGCAATGAAACGTCAGTTGAGATAAGTTGTCAATTTCCAACTTTGAGTTATCATCCGATCACGATTGACAATTTGGAATGTAACACGTCAGCGAGAATTTCTTCCTTGAGACAAAAATTGTGAGCTGTCTAAATTTCGCTGCATGAAGTAGAAATCATATTGATACCATCTTTCATGAGGAAGATGAACTATGTTCACGTTCACTGTGTCCATAGCTGGCAAAGCATAAATTTTATACCATTCATCAAGGATGGCTTTGAATTTTAGAATCTTTTCTGATGGAATGAGCTCTATGTGCACATTTTGACAAACTGCAGCAGCAACATCTGCAAATGACTGCTGAGTTTATAGCTTTGCTCTCATGGCCAGACTTTGCTGCATGCCAGACGTGCCTCTTAACAGTGCCGCCTACACCATCAACCGCACCTTTGCCATGACTTGTGTCAAAGAATTGCCAAGAAATGTGAACATCTCATCTTTCAAGAAGGTGAGAAGGTGAGAAGTTGAACTTCTGCTTGAATTGCGAAGCTGCTCCATCTGAAAAAAAAGACTAGTTTTTCCATCTGAGGAAACATGCATTTCAGGTCTTGCACCAGGAATTGCATGAAGGCAATGCACTGCATATTTGTCATGAGATAAGTAGTCACTGATTACAGCAAAATGAATCGCAAGTTGCCAAGCCACAGCTGTGAAAAGAGTGACTTGCGTTTGACGCCAATGGGCACTCTGGACTTCATTCTGATACTGGCAAATGTAATTTTCTGCAAAGTCCACTTGCAATACAACTTCTGAAGAGTCACAATGGGGAAGCAGACTCCCTCTGGATCGTTGCAGCTTCTAGATTTTTTTCTCTTCCTTCTTTTGCATGCATTTTCTTTGTCTTTCTCTTGCAGCTGCATTCAGCTGTTCTCTTGCTCTTTTGGATAGACCTATCCTCTTTCTTTGCATTTCACTTCTTTTCCTCTGCTGCCTTTCATTATTGTCTCATTTTTCTGGGTCGGAACGAATTTTGGCCCATTTACGTTTCTGTTTCTCTGAATTTGACCAATCTAAATGAATGGATGAAAAAGCACACTGAAAATAATATCACATAAGCAATTTATCTTCCAACATGTACTTTCAATGACATGTATCTATGTAAAACAGTACAAATGAATTTATTCAGAATATATTGCTAGCTGGTTAGATTTGACATAATCGAGATATATCACATCCGACACTATATGTGCTGGTGCTACAAAAGGAACTGGGCTTGAATGTAGTGAATCTACTTTGAGAAGAAAATTTGGAAACAGTTTATGCACATCCCATATAACATAAATGATTTTTCGTAATTTGGTGTCGGATATGACAACGTAAATGCGTTGTATACAATCCCTTAAAAGGTCCAGAAAAGGGATCTGATATCATGATGCAAGTGTATTTTTTAAGCCATAACACCCATGAACCAGGTACAGGTTCATTCAAGAAATGGGAATTCATCAAAATTCCCATTTCTTTAATATCAATTTTTACCATATGAGTGACCCATTAAAATGAATCAGTTATAATAATTTTGCAAATAATATTAGAATTAATTGATGTCATGAGGAACTAGAGATTATAGGCCTTTCAGTGGAATACAATAAGCAACAATTCGATTACATTTCATTTTTGGACTCCATAAACAACATCGCGTGGACCCGCCCATATACCTTGAATGTCGCATAGAAGCAGGAAAAAGAAACTTTCACATCCTCCCGACCATACTCAGAAATCGCCACCAGCCCCACTTTTCCCATCACACGACACAAAAATTATTTTGTCACTGCCAAGTGCCGAATTCACGTTCACACATCTTGAGTGTCGAAATGAAGAACTAAAACTTTTTAGTTTTAGTAATCACCAACTTGCGAAACCGAGTTCATATTGCTTGGAAGTCAAATCGAATTAAGTCATCTCTTACAATTTTAAGTCTAAAGGCAGAAATTGCCACTTTCACCACCTTTCCAATCACATCACCATAAATATCTCCTTTTATCGCTCACTGCCTAAAGTAAGGCCATATAGCTTTGACGTTAAATCGAGGCAATAAAAAGCTTGTGGAGTATTTTTCTGACTGAATGTTGGAATCACCACTTTCGACACCTTCACTATCACTTGGCCAAAAATGTCTTTTTTCATCGCGCACTTTGCCCTATTCGGCTTTGCATGCCGAATAGGGCTTGCGAAAAAAACCCAAAAAATCCCAAGTTTTCGACTAAATGCCAATTTTGTCACATTTCCAATCACATCATCAAAAATTTCGAACATTTTCTTCTAGAGATAAGTTATTTCGATGTTGGCTAGATCGAGGACGTCCATGTCCATAACTAACTTTAGAAATCTTAAACGATTTCGCTTCTAGGCCTGAATACGTCTCCTATAAGCCAATTTTTATTTCTTCATGAGTACGCCTCAAACGCCTTCACTTGTACAGGGTGACAAGTTGTGTCTCTTAAATTTGTTGGTATCAACACCAATGGTCCAAAAATGGACAACGGATTTAATCGACACGATAGGTAACTATTAATCAATATTGTTATTTCTAATGTCCACCTTGGTCTTTGAAGTCTCAAGGCGACGAAGTCATTCGAAGACTACAGCAGGCAGAGTCTCTTAACGAATTCAGGCTCGAAGAAGGGACCGACTCAGCCACTCAACACTTGTTCGTGGCCGAGAGCAGACTTCTATCTCCAAGAGCAATCCCACATAGTAGTCCAAGGGATTCATGAGATAGTGAGGTGGTTGAGAACTTCCTTTCGCAAGACAATGCCAGTCATAACAGGGCAACAACAGCACGGCACCGAGCATGAAAATACCTGCAGAGGAGCTGAGGAAAGACATGAGACGTCGGCACAAACGGTTGAATAGGCAACAAGTGGAAGCCAGTTTAAAGAGAGACCCAGTTTTCTGCCAATTATCCGCATAAAACTTGATAGCTCAATTCATTTTCACAACCTAATAAATAATTTTTGCATGGATGAAAATAAATTTTGGCGCTGGCGGAAATGCATTTGTATTTTTTTCTGGGTCATTTTAGCGAGAACCAGTAGACAATGGTCGATGAAGGTTTTATCACACCTGTACCGCACATCTGCACTTCAGAATTTCAAAAGAGGAAGGAACTAATGAACCAAGTCTAATGCCAATCGTTATAATGCATTGAGATCAAATGTATATCAACTGCTAAGAAAAATCGCAGCTTGCACTGAGAAATGTGGAAAAGCATTTCCATCGAGTGTTCAACGCATTCCTTAAGATGAGATGGATGAGTAGTTTTTATTTCCCATGAGAGAGAAGGAGGGATTTCAAGAAAGCCAATGGGCGAATGCATCGAATGTACCAATAGGATAGAACTTGGTTTTACAAAAACCTCCTAAGGTGGGAAGATCTCGTCTTACACGTCGTAAGCAAGTCATGAAATACTTTCATTTTCGCACGTAGATTGCAAATGTGAATGACTTCCCATCTACACTTCGCACTTGACGAATGTATTAGACTGGTCCGCTTTCCTATATTGCGAGGATGTGAAGCTTGATAAAAGACTGAAAAGACCAAGCAAATATGCTGCTAGATCTTTCTGTCATAGACCCACACACAAGCAGAACTAGTTTCAGGGGTCAACCTTCAACAATGGCTATTTTTTCATTAAGCTACAAAGTATTTTCATGCAAGTCTCAGGAATTGATGCGATGAAGAAACTCAAGTTGCACTGATGGATGAAAGTGTTCACAATGGCTTCAATTTATAAGACCATACTTGTGGACATTTCAATGCAACTTCAGGGAGGTCTTCCTGCACACATCACAAGTCAATGATTGTCCTTCAATGTGGATTGCAGACATAATTATTCTTCCTAACTTGCCAAAGATACAGAATTGAATACCTAAGTAACGCAGTATATAACACAGTATATTGATGAAACGTTTTCGAAATGTTGCCTATGTTGCAAGTTGCTGTACAACATAGAATAAACATTGCTGCAATGTTTTCACTTGGAATGTTGATGCGACACTTCTATGAATATCACTGCAACATTAGCTATCAACATTGAGAGAATGTTGACACTCTTGACATCGACAACGTGGCGACAACATTCTGATACAACATGGACTTAGGAGTTTTGGAGAATTGTGAAGTTGTTCTTGCCACGAGACGGAGACGTAAGTCTCGCTTTCTCACAGTACACACAAGTGCACTTCTCCTTTTTCCTGGAATAGTCCCGCACAGGAATGTCTAGTACCTTGCCATATGTTTCAACGCTTTCTCACAGTACACAAAAGTGCCCTTCTCCCTTTTCTTGGAATAGTCCCGCACAGGAATGTCTAGTGCCTTGCCATATGTCTCACATTGTCTCATTATAGGAATCAATGAACGCGGACACTTCATCACCTGTTATCTTCATTTTCTAGACAGATTAATGGGGTCAAGATAGAAAAAGCTCAATTCCCAAAAAACACCCTTTCCAAGAACGGGACAATAAAAACGATGGTAGAGAGTCTGCGATCTCAATACTTAATATCCTCATTCCTGGGTACAAGCTGAGGAAACGATGGAATGATTTCATGGACACTCCATAGAACATTGCGGTCGGACCTTTTCCTGTATTGTGCAATTTAGCACATCCAGGGGAAGGTCACCTCCAAAAATGTATTGTCTCCTGCCTGTATATGATACAGATACTGTATTATGCATGGAGTAGGGGTTATACCAGTACAGGCTTCGTCCTGTAAATGAGAATGTACGAAAGGATGAAATAAATAATTCAATATTGGTAGAATATCGGTCCAGTTCAGGACCAGTGAAGCCTAAATCCAGGGGAAGATCACCTCCAAAAATGTACTGTCTCCTGCCTGTACATGATACAGATACTGTATTATGCATGGGTAGAGGGTAAAACATTGTCTCCCTTCATTACCTAAGGAAAAAATCCATAGTAAACTATGGTTATTTCATTACTTTCCTGCCAAGTCATCAAAGGGTATGCAAAGGTATGTTCCCCAACATTCACTTCCAGAAAAATATAGCCACTGAATGAATTCCCATAGGGTTCCGAGAGCTCTGGCATCAGCTGATGTGTTAAATAGAACTGTCCATAGGCTGAAGACTGCCACTAATAGCCTTTTGCCTTATGACTAATGTATTACAAGTTATTAAGCCAGAATATTTTGCAATAAATCTTAGAAACCAGTACCTACAACATATTACTTCTCTCAGTAAGCAATTTAATAATAAAAATATTCCTAGACTCCAACTACTAAGCATGATAGACTTTTCCCCATCTTTTACATGTACAAGATCCAATAATATAAAACTTCCGGTATGCATTTCTTTACTTAAATATATGTAATGGTTCAGAAATTGTTCATTCTTGGAATGGAAAAATAAGGGAAAGTGAGTTTTTAATCTGGCTTGGTGTCTCAACATCATTTGCAGATGCAGCATCCAATTTATGGTTTGAGCATTCCACCTTAATCTCCATTAGAGCTGAGAAAGGTAAAGCACACAGTGGAATTATAGACAACAGATAGTGTTTGAGTTGGGCAAGCCATGAAATTCTACACTACCGCAAAAGATTACGAGCTGGTGAACAAGGTTTACAAGGTGGTGAGGAGAGAAATACTTGCAATAGTAACTAATGTTAGTCATTGGGTGCAGATGAAGAGAAAATTTGGTTGTAACAAAAAATTCCTGGAGTCCCCAAATAGAAAGGTAACAAATTTTCTCCCCCGTTGAGCGAGAAAGAGGAAACAAATATTTCTTCCCTTTCCTTATTCCCCACGAAAGCAAGGGTTCAAGTACTTATCTCAAGGCTTCACTCCTAACTCATTCAACACCATCATATTGAATGAATGACTTCATCCAGCAACACATTCACTTGCAAATCAGTTCATTAAGTTAGACTCTCCACTTTGAAGTGCAAGTGCTAGGCCTGAGTATTAATGGAGTCTAACTGATGATGGATTGTTGGGAGTGCTAAAACGGGGCACTTGAAATATGGAGAGGCAGGAAGGGTATACCCGCCCTCCGAGCCTAAAGGGGATCGGACAAAATTGAGGAGAGAGGTGCCAACGATAAGCATACGAAATGTTTCCGTGCAGATGCACTATCAGAACCAAAGCAACGTCTATCATTCCGATCTAACATTAGACCAAAGGTTGTCTGTATGGAGTCAGGACACGATGGAACTATCTAGACATATTTTCTCAAGTTAAATGCTGAAGTTCGTGCGACGGAAAGTACCTTGGCCATCAGTAAACAGAGCACTTCACACAAAAGTTTGCATCGATGCGGTGGCGTATTTTGGCTGAAGGGTCGGGGTGGGGGGGCAGGGCAATAGAGCCAAACCCCACCCGAGAGATATCGGGAGAGGTGGGGGTGGGGTGGGGCTAGGCTCTGTCCCAGAGGCGTTTGGGGGCGGCTATCCCCTGTAAAATACGTCTCTGCATCGATGGAACTCTCGAATTCGTTTCTGACCTGCACATCGAAATATTTTTGCAAGTACGGTCAAGAAACCTGCACTGAATGAACCATGTTTTCTCAAGGCCATTTCATGTCCCCATCTTTCCTCCCAATATTGCATCAATTTGGATGCATGTGGCCATGAAACGCTGGTTGATTTCAGCAAATTTAGTAAATCATCAAGAAAAGGAACGCGTTACGGTAACGCCATATACTTTTGCCATGAAAAAGGAACTAGTTACCAGTTCCGTTACCCTCCCCTGAAAAGGAACTCGTTACCTTTAAAATTACTGAAAAAAGTAGTTACTGTAACGCGTTACTTTTACTTCGTCAAGATAGTGACATCAAGAGGCGATTTCGCCCATTTCGATATCACGTGTCGAGGTCGAGCGTTCCTTAATTTTAGGGCAGGCCTAACCCTCTTAAAGCTAAATATTTATTTATTTATTACTATCCTAGCTGCTTACTGTCTAGTACCTAACGTCAACATTTCCCCCCACCTTTTTGCCTGTCCATGAAAGCATCTAGTTTCTTCTTAAAGATAGTCACAGAAGGGGCAGCCACTACTTCATCATCTAACGCATTCCACGCGTTCACCACTCTGCAAGTAAAGAATTCCTGTCTCGACCTGAGCCGCACCTGCGGTTTGCGCAACTTAAGTCGGTTACCTCTCGTTCTCTTGCTGTCATCAAACTGGAAAAACCTACCACACTCGACATTATCTATTCCTTTAATTATCT